GGCTACGGAGGGAGAGGGAAAGAAGCATCGCCTTTGTTTTTTCGTCAGGAGGAGACGTGTAGGGGCAAGAAATGGAGGGTTAGGAGAGAGGCCACCATAACGTCAAAGCCTGTGGTAGCTAATGGTGGCGCAGGCTCGCAGGCGCTTTAGCGATCCTTCAGGTTCTGACATGTGATGAGTGGGTATTCATGCGCCTGCGTGAAATGTGCCGTCCCTAATTGTTACGACAGGGCACAGTACCCTTCTGATCTGAACCTTTTGTAATAATTATTTTTTTTTGCATGTTGGTAGCAGTACATTTTCAAACTTAATCTGTTCTGGAATTCTGTTCCAAAACCAAGGCGGGCTTTCCTGTAGAAAGTAATGCAAAACAGACTAATTTGTTCCAGACCATTTATCCGTAAAATGAAAGCAGTAATCAATGTGCTGTACTATAAAATAAGACAGTATTGTAGATTATAAAAATAAATATATGCTTACTTGCACTGATGATAGTTATTGTTTGGATGGGGGGCTTTTATCCATTTCAGCAGTCAATCAATCAATCAATCAATCAATCAATCAATCAGTAGCTGAACTGGGCTCCATACAGTAACAAAAACAAATTAACCGAAAAAGCCTGTAAAACAAAAATGCAAAATAAATAGCAAAAACAAAAGCGCAAAATACAGTGGTACCTTGGTTCTCAAACTTAATCCGTTCCAGAAGTCCATTTGACTTTCGAAATGTTTGGAAACCAAGGCAAGGCTTCTGATTGGTGCAGGCGCCCCAGAAACAATAGCCGACAGCTGCATCAGACGTTCGGCTTCCAAAAAACGTTTGAAAACCGGAACACTTCCGGGTTTTCAGTGTTTGGGAACCAAGGCGTTTGAGAACCTAGGTACCACTGTAGTTCATGTAGAAGGTAGCAATTTTTAGCTTTGTGCTTGCAAAGCCAGCAGAAGAATTAAATTTTGTTTTGTTGCTTGGAAAAGCTGGCTTTTGTTCGTTGTGTACTGTAAATAACTGAGCGGTTCTGGTTTTTGTCTAAAGAGAGAAGTTAAAGTTTTGATCTGCTGGGTAAGCGTGGGTGGCTTTCGCAAATTGTCAGAAACTTCAACTGGCACAAAGAGAGCTGCAGCCAGATGGTTATAGCAGCATACAAGCCCATTCTTGCAACAGCTCCACTGTCAATTCTAAGTGCTGGTTATGACTGGGAAAGAATGCATTCCCCCCGCCCCCCCAATGATCTTGCCCAGGTTTTGAGATCTTCTCTAGGTCCGTCCAGTCTTACCGGCTGTTGGTGGGGACATGGAAGAGGGCCTTCTCAGTGACTGCTCCCCGACTTTGGATCTCAGATTGGCTCCCTCCTGGTTTTCCTTCTGCCTTCTTGTTCCAGCAGCCTTTGGGAACTGCCTTTTTTAATGAAAGAGCTAGTGCCATTTTTTTAAAATTGTAATTATTTGTATGTTTTAAACAGGTTTTATACAGTCATACCTCGGGTTACAGACGCTTCGGGTTGTGCGATTTCGGGTTGCGAATGTGATCCGTGTGGGATACATGTTTGCAACCCTCAGTGGTTGCAACACACAGTGGACACGTCTGCGCATGCGTGGGTTGTGATTCAGTGCTTCTGTGCATGCGCAAAGCACGATTTAGCACTTCTGCGCATGCACGACCGCCGAAACCTGGAAGTAACGGTACTTCCAGGTTTCAGCGGGTCCGTAACCCCAAAAAACGCAACCTGAAGCGTCTGTAACCCGAGGTATGACTGTGATATGCTCAAACCGTCATGTTCCGGTGAGCAACCTGGTTGCTGAATTCTGCACTAGCTGAACTGTCTTCAGAGGTAGCCCTAAGTATAATGCATTGCAGTAATCTAACCTTGAGGTTGTCAGAGCACAGGCCACAGTGGTTAGGCTATCGCTGTCCAGATAGGGGCATAGCTGTGCCACCAGCAGAAGCTGATAGAAGGCACTCTGGGCCACTGAAGCCAACTGAGCCTCGAGTGACAGCAAAGGATCCAAGCTACAAACCTGCTCCTTCAGAGGAAGTGCAACCCCATCAAGAGCAGGCGATTTCCCACCCATCTGAGCTAGGGGAAGCACCCCCTAACAGTGCTTGGATTGAGTTTCAGTTTGTTGGCTCTCATCCAGTCCATTACTGAAGCAAACACTGGTCCAGCCCTTCCACTGCCTCACCTGCAGATGTAAAGGAAAAATAGAGCCAGCTGTCATCAGCATACTACTGATAATGTACTCCAAACCACTGGATAACCGTAGGGGATAGGATTGAGCCCTGCAGAACCCCACATGAAGGTTCCATGGGGCTAAAAAGCATTCCCCAAGCAACACCTCCTGGAATGACCATCCAAGTAAGATTGGAACCACCGCAAAGCAGTGCCAACCACCCCTAGTTTGCACAGTTGCTCCAGTAGGATGCCAATGGTCGTTGGTATTGAAAGCCACTGAGAGGTCAAGAAGAATTAACAGGGACATGTTTCCCTTGTGTCTCTCTCGACAGAGGTCATCATATAGGGTGACCAAAGCAGTCTGGCAATCCCAAACTGCCAGCAGCTGGGCGGCCTTTGGCAGGTCTTTTAATGCCTCTCTCAGCAATTGCTATGAAGATAACATGGTGAAGGTGAGGATGTCTCACTTTGTTCTCCTTGGAAAGAAGGCAGGATATCAATGAGATGTATGAATCAGCTAGAAAGGGATCCTGAAAGCTCAAATATGGAGACTGGTGGCCACTAGGGGGAAGCGCTTGGTGGTAGAGCATCTGCTTTGTGAGTAGGTCCCAGATTTAATCCTGGCATCTCCAGGTCTGAAATTCAGGAGAGCTGCTGTCGGTCAATATAGAGGCAATGCTGAGCAAGGTGGACCAGTGATCTGACTCAGTATAAGGCAGCTTCCTGTTTAGTTGAGGAATGTAAAGGTAAAGGGCCCCCTGGCCATTAGGTCCAGTCGTGGCCGACTCTGGGGTTGTGGCGCTCATCTCACTTTATTGGCCGAGGGAGCCGGTGTACAGCTTCCGGGTCATGTGGCCAGCATGACTAAGCCGCTTCTGGCGAACCAGAGCAGCGCACAGAAACGCCATTTACCTTCCCGCCGGAGTGGTACCTATTTATCTACTTGCACTTTGACGTGCTTTCGAACTGCTAGCTTGGCAGGAGCAGGGACCGAGCAACGGGAACTCACCCCGTTGCGGTGATTCGAACCGCCGACCTTCTGATCAGCAAGTCCTAGGCTCTGTGGTTTAACCCACAGCACCACCCACGTTGAGGAATGTACCCTGAGCTAAAACAGAGGGCAAGCCCCATAAACTGTTGGTGGGGCTGCTTGGTTGGCACTGGTCCACATTCTCCATTTTTGGAATGCCCCCCATTGGTGAGGTGCCTCCCCCTTATTAACCTACAGCAGGAATTTAAACAGATTTCTGCTCACCCAGGGATTTGATAGCCAAATGATAACTGCATTTCCAGCAGCCTTGACATTATTAGCTATGAGTTGGTGTGGCAGTTTTAAAACACCCTTCTATGTTTATCTCCCCCCTTATTTTATTTTTTAATTATATAATTTTGTTGTTTGCTGCCCTTCCTTTGGGAGGCACGGTAGGATAGGAATTTATTATTATTATTATTATTATTATTATTATTATTATTATTATTTATTTCAATACCTTGAACCTTTAAGGAAAAAAAACATTTAAACTGGGGATGTTGGGGATCAAACCTGGGACTTTCTGCATGCAAAGCAGATGCTCTGCCACTGAGCAACAATTGATCTACTAAGGATATGGAAAGTCAAGGAAGTATTTGGCCAAGTCTTACCAGCTTTTTAATTCAGCACAGCACCCTTTAATCCAGAAGTTATTTTTAAATATATATTTTTAATTAAATTTTATATTAAGATAATGCTGATAAATTCCAACAAAGGTTCACATGCTTAAACTAGCCCTATATAAGCAAATAATAATGATGTAATAATGAGTGGGGACACTCAAATAACAGGAATTGCTGAATACTTAGCCAGTGCTTCAACTATCTGTTTCACAGCCTCTCCAAAAGTGATGATAAATACAGTGGTTTCGTTTTTGAAATGTATATATATTTTTAAAAAATAAACCAAATATCAGCAACAGGTTTCAGAGAAAGTAGATTTATTTTTCTGTACAAGGGTAAAACAGGAAGAAAAAGTTCAAAGGACACTTAAGAAAATACATCCCGCCCCCTTTCAAATCAAAAGAGGAATCACACCTGTCTTTTGTTATCTCCTCCTTCCCCATGACCTGTGCATAAGGAATGACGAGAGGCAACCCCCCCCCCCCACTTCTAATGCAGCTAACGTGGAAAAGGCAAAAACACCTTTGTGCTCTGAAAGCACAAAGGTCGCATCGACACCATACATTTAAAGCACTCTTGCACCACTTTGAACAGTCACGGCTCTCCTCAAAGAATCTTGCGAACTCGAGTTTGGTAAGGCTTCTGGGAACTATAGCTGTATCCTATACAACTCTCCATACCCTCAAACTACAGTTCCCAGGATTCCTTTAGGAAAGCCCTGGCTTCTGTAGCAGTGCAGGAGTGCTTCAAAATTGATGGTGTGGACACGGGTTTTGGTGGGGAGTGTCTTCTGCAGCAGCCCGGAGGTTTCCATTTAAGTCTTACTGTAAACATGGACTCTAGGTTTTGCGAGAAGAACCCTGCGATTGGTCTAGATCAGGCGGCGCCCAAGCTAAAGCTCCCAATTTTAATCGTAAAACGGACCCTCTGAGGAGGGGCCCAAGTGGGGTTGGGGAACTGGCTTCCTAGAAAGTGTTCATTAGGCCTGCTAAAATAGCCAAGGGACGTGGGGTTGGGGTCATCACCCAGCAATTGGTTCTGACCAGTATTTCCTAGATGAAGGGAAGACTTGGCATCGTAACGTCCTGTTGTGGGAACCAAGTGCGAGAGACTTCTGTTGTCCTTGTTGGGTGTCCTCTGCTCCTAAGCCCTTTTGTGTGCCGAAGGACCGAGACAAACGCAGAACCTGGCACAGGTTTGACCAACCTCCCCCAAAAATTTGCCCCCAGACCGGGGACGCACAACAAGGCCAGCTTGTTGCACTAGGTACAATTCCCCGTTGCCTCCTTCGAGGAGGAGACAGTCCCCAGTGGGAAGTCTCTGCAGCTGTTGGCATGAGTTTTAGTGCAGACCCCTCGCCCAGGCAATCATCTATGTCAATAGAAGGTCTGCTTTGGGGGGAAGTGGGAGGCTGGACGTCACACCAGCTCGTCCAAGAGGATGCTAATGCTCTGGTGAGGCTCTGCAGGGCCTGCGATGGGCTTGTTGCACATGGGGCAGACGCAGCGAACTTCCAGCCATTTCACGAGGCACCTGCAGCCAAAATGGAAGTGGGGGAGGGAGGACAGGGGGGGGGGAGAGGTGTATTTTGATAGCATTAAAAGCTGAGCTGCTATAGCTGAATCGTGAGTCGGAAGAGCATGAGACTCTTAATCTCAGGGCCATGGATTGAACCAAAGACTGCTGCATTGCAGAACCCAACCCTATGATTCTAGGATGATGTTTTAGCTCAAAGGTAGAGGTAAACTTCAAGGGATGTGGGTGGCGCTGTGGTCTAAACCACTAAGCCTAGGGCTTGCTGATCAGAAGGTCAGTGGTTCGAATCCCTGCGACGGGGTGAGCTCCTGTTGCTCGGTCCCAGCTCCTGCCAACCTAGCAGTTCGAAAGCACGTCCAAGTGCAAGTGGATAAATAGGTACTGCTCCGGCGGAAAGGTAAACGGCGTTTCCGTGCGCTGCTCTGGTTCGCCAGAAGTGGCTTAGTCATGCTGGCCACATGACCCGGAAGCTGTACGCCGGCTCCCTCGGCCAGTAAAACGAGATGAGCGCCGCAACCCCAGTCGGCCGCAACTGGACCTAACGGTCAGGGGTCCCTTTACCTATGGGTAAACTTCACAAATATGGCCCTCTGTCATGCCCTTGGCAACCTCCCTAAGTCAAGCCCCCTCCCAGTCACACCCATTCTCCCTGGGCTGTCCCCTTGCTGGCTTTGCTTTTTGCCGGGCAAGAATGTGACCTTGAGCTCTGGCAGTGCCTCTAACCTTGCTTTGATGGCATTGCAGGGTAGGCTGGGTGAGTGTGTAGAAACTAGAAGACTCTGAAGGCAAGATTCACATTCATCCCTCTGCCCATTTTTGCTTATGGCCCTGCCACACCACTGGCACACAGCCCCTATGAGGTTGCTCTGAAGGAATTGCAGCTCTTGGACTCAGAAGGGTTCCCCAGCCATGAGGCAAGGTATAGCCTGGCCCACAGAGAATGCTATGGATCTGTGCATGCATGTGCATGCTCTCAGCAGACATGTGGCACTGGAACTAGCATGCGTGCATGTTGCTTCCAGCATTTCTGGTTGCACAGGAGCCCGCAAGTGTGCAGACAGAGCCTCCAGTGGCCCAGCTGCTGCAATTCTCCTTTTCCTGCCTCTTCTGCTCCTATCCACAGCCAGACAGGGAGGCAGGGAAATGCAAGCTGCAAAGTGATCCTAGCACTGGCTCCTCCAAGTCACTTGCTCCCTGTTGCCCCACTGCCTTGCCATGGCTCCCGATTTCTCTCTGGAAAACGCCAGGGTCGGCTTGCACAAGCCAGCTGGGATTTTAACCCCTGGCGACAGCAGGTGCTGTCTCCCAGGGTTCTGGCACCTGCTGCATGGAGAGGATGCCAGGGGGTTAATGAATGGTTTGAACACAAGTTTATGGGCCCAGACATATAATAATGGAGCCACCATTCATCCAGAACAACCTGGATTAGAACTGGGGACTCTGGGCTCTGTGAGCAACTGCCCTGTGTTGATCGTCTGGGCTGTGATTCAGAATTTACTCCTGGGCTGTTCCACAAGACAGAAAGGTATCTCTAAAGCAGCAGTGACTAATTTGGTGCCACCCAGATGTTGCTAGACTCCAACTTCCCTCACCCCTCACCATTGACCTTGCTAGCTAAGGGCCGATAAGAGCTGGAGTCCATCAACATAAGAAGCGCACCTTGTTGGCTACCCCTGCTATAGAGGGTTTCTTGTTTGAGCTTGGACTTCGCCTGAGGCTCGGCAGTGTTGGGGGGCTGCCCCACCCACCATTTGCAAGCTCACTTTCAGGCTGGTCAAGTGGAGGCGGTCAATTTGCAGGTTACAATTCAACCCCTGAAATAACCCGCCAAACACTTTCAGGGACAGTGTAAGGAGCTTGCAATCTCAACATGTTCATGGTGGGTGAGCCCTTAAAAAACCCAAAAACGTTCTCCCCTTTTAATTTCATTCCAGTTCTGTTTTTAATATAGCTTTTTAAGCCCTGCTGCTTTTGCTCCTAGCACTCTTGACACTGACATTAGTGAGGAAGGGAGGGGGTAACCCTAGGAAGGCCCCCCTCCTGTGAGGATTCAATCTGCCATCAAGGCAGCTGTTGGAGAGACAAATGTTTCAAGCACATTTGAAGCCCATGGCTCCCCCCACAAAAGACTCACGGCAACTGCAGTTTACCCTTCACAGAGCTACAATTCCCAGCACCCTTAATAAACTACAATTCCTGGGATTCTTCAGGGCAATGTGCTTTAAAAGAAATGTGTGTATGGGGCCTGTGGGGCAGGAGTTGTCCTGACCCCCTGCCTGGAACATCATCACCATCTCTGTTTCCAGCTCTAATCTAGTTGGGGGGGGGGCTGTTTCCAGACAACAAATGATCTTTATTAAGAGCAAGACAGCCAGAACTGCCACAGCCATTGGCTGCAACTGCAACTTGGAAACTTGTGCTTGAGCTTGCTTTCCCCTCCTCCCGTCCATTCCCTTTTTCCTTTCATGCCATGTCTTTTCTTTTAGATTGGGAGGTCGAGGGCAAGGGACCGTCTCAGAAAGATATATATATATATATATATATATATATATATATATATATATATTTAGCCTTTGGGAATAGACGGTGTGATATAAATGGCACAAACAAATGAATAATACGTAAATTTCCCAGAAGCCCTCCAAGAAGGAAGGATGGGGGGGGGAGGGGGGAGCAGCAGGCAATATGCTGCAAACCAGCCAGTAAAGCTGGCAGCTTTTTTATTTTTAAAAAGCTAATAAGAAAGAAAACAAATAGAAAACTTAAAAGAAGTTTAAGTTTTACCTTCAAATCATTTTACCTCTTCCCTGATCATTTCAACTCTATTCCAGCAGATGCTCGGGTTGCAAATGTGATCCGTGCAGGGAGGCATGTTCACAACTCGCAGCTTTTGCAACCCACAGTGCTGCGTCCGCGCACGCGCAGGTTGTGATTTGGCGCTTCTGCATATGCGCAAAGCACGATTTAGCGCTTCTGCGCATGCGCGACTGCCAAAACCTGGAAGCAACCCGTTCTGGCACTTCCAGGTTTCGGCGCATCCGTAACCTGAAAAATCGCAACCTGAAGTGTCTGTAACCCGAGGTATGATTGTATTTTGCTTCAGGGGTTCAGCCAAAATCTGCCCCAGAATTCAACTATCTTCCCCTCAGTTGAAACAAACGTAGCCCTCATTTCGATGGGTTCTTTGTTCCTACTCTTGGCTCGGCAGATGTTTTAGCCCACCTTAAGGTGCAGAGTGGATAATAAACAATCCATCAAGCAAACAATAGGTGCAACCCTGGCTCCCTTCTGACCTCCGACAGTGGCTCTGAGCCTTGGCATGTCACGGTCCGGTTTGATCCAGGCCTGGGCCTACTCCTGCCAACCTCGCAAAGATGCCCTCCCTTCCCGTAGCCCAAGAGGTTTTCAGAAACAAATGCCAGGCTCCCTCCCCTCGCCTCTTTCTGTGGGCAAAGGCGCCCATCTCCTCTCCCCAGCCGCATGCACCAAAGGGCGTTAACTGAACGCCGGGCCTCTTGCCAAGCCGAGAGGCACAAAAGCAGCTATTTGGCCCATCCTTGGCAGCTACTCACTTTCTGTGGAAGGCATGTTGGCATGGCAACACTCCCAGCTCATCTTTCACTTTAAAGTCTTCTAGGCAGACGGCACAAGTCTGCTGTGGAGAAAGGGGGGGGGGGAAGAGAAGAAGAGGCGTACATTACAAAGCTGCCTCCTGCGTGCCCACCCACAGCAGATCTCAGTGCGAAAGACGGGCCTTGTCATGTTTTGCAAAGGCTGGGTGAGAAACAGGAGCTAGAATGGGGCAGAGTCAGAGGAACTGCCCAGTTTTGCTTCTTGCCAAATCATTTGACCCAGTTGCCGCAGAAGAGACACAGCTCAGGGGTTGTGCATCTGCCTTGCATGCAAAAGGTCCCAGGTTCAGTTCCTGGCATCTTCAGGGCAGGGCTGGGGTACTACTGCAATGCGCTCTACGTGGGGCTACCTTTGAAGGTGACTCGGAAACTGCAGTTAATCCAGAATGCGAGAGCTAGACTGGTGACTGGGAGCGGCCACCAAGACCATATAATACCGGTCCTGAAAGATCTTCATTGGCTCCCAGTACGTTTCCGAGCACAATTCAAAGTGCTGGTGCTGACCTTTAAAGCCCTAAATGGCCTCAGCCCAGTATACCTGAAGGAGCGTCTCCACCCCCATCATCCAGCCCAGACACTGAGGTCCAGCGCCAAGGGCCTTCTGGCGGTTCCCTCGCTGCGAGAAGCCAAGTTACAGGGAACCAGGCAGAGGGGCTTCTCGGTAGTGGCGCCTACCCTGTGGAATGCCCTCCCAGCAGATGTCAAGGCAATAAACAACTATTTTACTTTTAAAAGACAACTGAAGGTGGCCCTGTTTAGGGAAGCTTTTATTGTCTGACACTGTATTGTTTTTAATATTCGGTTGGAAGCCGCCCAGAGTGGCTGGGGAAACTCAGCTAGTTGGGCGGGGTATAAATAATAAATTATTATTATTATTATTATTATTATTATTATTATTATTATTATTATTATTATTTGTCCTGGGGTTGTGTTGAGTTGTGTGGATCTGTGACAAATTTGGGCTGTAGCAGCTGGAGGAAGCTACCCTGGTCCAAGAAAATGTGTGCCCCCCCCCAACGGCAACAATTCTTCAGGGTCTCTGGCAGAGGTCTTTCATGTCACTTACTACTCACGAGGTGCCCAAGATTCAACCTGGAACCTTCTGCATGCAAAGTAAAAAAAACACACGAGCTCTACTCTCTTAGGGTTCCTTCTTTCCTTCCTGCCAGGGATTTTGCTTCAGTCTCACTGATATTCACTGAATAACAGTTTATCTGTGTAAGTGTTTGGCAAATTTTGATTTGTCTTCTATGGGAAGATGCAAGACAGAAAAAGGAGGTGATTCTTCACACAGCACATAATGAAAGCCATGGCACTTGCTCCTCCAAAATGAGTTAAAAAGAGTTTAGACAAATTCATGGAGCCTAGCAATGGCTACCAGCCGTGATGGCTGTGCACAGCTTTTAGTGTTGAAGGTAGTGTGCCTTGAAAGACAATTAAGGTAAAGCTTAATGAAGGATAAAGCTATCAGTGGCTGCTGGTTATCATAGCTACATACCGTGTCCAATTCTGGGCACCACAGTTTAAGAAGGATGTTGACAAGCTGGAATGTGTACAGAGTAGGGCAAACTAAGAGGATCAAGGGTCTGGAAAGTAAGCCTTATGAGGAACGGTTGAAAGAGCTGGGTATATTTCACCTGGAAGAGAGGAGACTAAGAGAAGATAGGATAGCCATCTTCAAATATCTCAAGGGCTGTCACATGGAAGAGGGAGCAAACCTTTTGTGTCTAATGTAGATTACCTCTATCTTTATACTTTTTGCACCATTTTCAATTTAGAAAGAGTAAAAATTTCGAGGTCTTAGAACAAAGGAAGGAAGTCAATATGTGTATGTGTATGTAATGATTAGAATGATGATATGGTTTTATTTGTAGATGTGTGTTTTTGTTTTTTCCTCTTGTGTTTTGTTTTCTTGTTTGTACTGTTTTATTTTGGATTCAATGTTTGTAATTTTTGTTGTAATTTTGCACTGAAAAAACAAAACAAAACAAAATGGAAGAGGGAGCAAGCTTGTTTTCTCCTGCTCTGGAGGCCGGGACTTGAACCAATGACTTCAAGTTACAAGAAAGGAGATTCCAACTTTCTGACAGTCAGAGCTGTTCGACAGTGGAATGGACTCCCTCAGGAGGTGATGGAGGTTTTAAAGCAGAGGTTGGATGGCCATCTGTCCTGGATGCTTTATTTGAGATTTCTGCATTGCAGGGGGTTGGACTAGATGACCCTCAGGGTCCCTTCCGACTCTACAATTCTATGATTCTATCTCCACTGCCAGAGGCAGTATGATTCTGAACAGCGTTTGCTGGGAATCACAAGTGGGGAGAGTGTTGTTGCATTCCGACCCCGATTTGAGCTTCCATAGGCCTCTGGTTTGCCACTGTGGCCTCTGGCCTGATCCAGCAGGGCTCTTCTTATGTTCCCCTCCCCATGTGCCCCAGAAAGAAACTGCAAGGGAGCCTTGCTTTCTAAATGTTGGTTAAAAGCCAGCCCCTTTCATCCATCAAAGTGGATTCTATACTCACCCCATGTAAGTTTAGCTTTCTGGCATCACCTTTTAAAACCACCTGAGAGGAAGAAAGGAAAGAGAAGGAGGCAGATTAGCATCAGGGCACCAGAAATGAATGATCAGGGCATGTATTTTAATCCTGCTGACTACTGTGCAGACAGACAGTGACTGCTGCTGAACACTGAAAACCTTGGTTTATACAGAAACCACATAAATCACACAGGCAGACTTGCTGGGTGGGGAGATCTGGCCCAGATAATTCGGGATTTGGCAAACTTCCCCATTGTTTCTCTCTTTGCTCAAACTTTTCCGTCCTTTCTGATCAGCACATAGCTTTGACTCTTCGTGGAAACGTCTGCTGTGCAAGCGCATTTCTGCAATACAGCAGCACCCTGCAAAAGCCACACTGAGGTCTGAGATGTGTAGGTATTGCTGAGTGAAGGTGTACATCAAAGCAGTTCGTGGGTGGAAGGACAACTGCAAACTACTGATTGCCAGGTTATTCTGACGAAAACAGAATAAGTGATGGAAACTGCCGATGTTCGCTTATTCATCTCACATCCGGAACATAAATCACTCTGTTGGTATTCACGGTTTGCCCCCACCCCAGCCCACAAATGATATGCAATTGGTGATACGTAATTATCATTGATTGATTTGAATTGTGTTTCCTTTGCACTGAACGGAATGTTGTGGAAATAGTCACCTCATACATTACACTGAATCTGTCAATCTATGTGAATAAATATGCAAAATCCGTCAAATAGCAGAGAGATGAGTAACTCTGCATTTGGTGGAAACTGAGCTGCAGCAGAATGGAAGCAGCACAGATTGTCATGAAAACAGTACACAATGGAAACAACCAGTGCTTTTTTCCTGGGGCTCCTCAAGAGCACGCAGTACTGGCACCCTTTCCTCCCAAATGTTAAAAGTGTGGCACTTAACAACTTCATGGTTAGTAATGCCAACTTTTTTCCAATTAAAAAACCCACAGGAAACAACTGTCTTCTTACATCCAGAATGTTGATAGGTAGGGCTGTGGAAAGATTAATATTGCACACCTAACACCAACCATTCCAGCCAGAGTGGAAGTTGGTAGGGGCGAGCAGGCAAGTTGCTACACCAGCCTGGAGCTGGCACAACAACCAGGCCTCATGCCGTCATGTGTTGGCAATACAGCAGGCTCAGGATTCCTTCTCTGCCTCTGGAACATGGCATTTTGGGTCTTCCTGCTGCTGGTGGGTTCCTAACCAGTAGCACTTCCCCATGTTTGGTAGGTGGAAAGTGGCGCTCCACATTACCTGAATGAGGCCAGTGTAATTCCGCAGGCAGAGGCTGGCAGGACAGAGAGACACCTCTGCCCTCTATCCCTGCCCAAAGGGGAGAACGCATTGCTCTGTTCCTTCCGATTGCTCGGATGGCTGGCTGTCAGGTGCTTGGGAAGCGCTGTGCAATGGGGGCACAGAAGCAGGTGCCCAAAAAGCCACTTTTTGCCAAGCTATGCTTTTATGTGCCCCACACCTGGTGTCACTTGTAGGGCAGGAGGCTGCAGCTTGCACAAAATGGCCTCGCCAGGAAATGGGAATACTTGGTGGGCCAGATTAGGCCTATGGGACAGAGCTTCCTCACTTCAGGTATATAAAATTTCAGCTTTACATGGCTATGCTAGGGATACAAGACTGGCAAAAGATTTCCTGCTTTGTTCTAGATTATGAACATTTCACTTCCTGTTGCACACTAAGGTGCTGGCAACCCCAGAAAGAGGCATCTCAGCTCCTTCCCACACCTGCTCAGGAACTAAACCATTCCCTTGATCATAGTTTGGAAAGCAAAAGGGGAAAAAATATTTAAAACCAGGTCATAGCCCTGTTACCTCTTTGTATCCAAATCTTTCACTCTGTGCCTGATGTCGAAGTTTACTGCAGAGGGAAAGGGAACATTTTTTAAGTTAACAGGAAAAACCCAAACATGCTAAAAAAACTTCTAATAAAGGAGAGACTACCAGCTTCTAAGGCAATCTGCTATGCTAGCAAACCGCTCATACCATCCAGCACTTCTTCCTCATGCTTACCCTAAATCCAGTGTGGAAACCACTGGCCCTCCAGATGTTGATGAACTACAATTCCCATCATCCTTGGCCATGCTTGTGGGGCTGATGGGAGTTGCGGTTCAGCAGTATCTCAAGGCTTGTCTACTGTGCACCCATTTTTCAATCACTCGGTCCCACAAAGCTACACTACTTACGGTCTTAGGTGACCTGTGTGATCCCAGCCAAACTGACGACTTCCCCTGCTCTCACAGAAACATAATGCAAACATACTGCCAGTTTTGCCCCCTACTTGTAACAATGTCATGCCTTCAGAGCAGCTGACCCATATCAGAAGTTTTATCAACACATGGAAGAAAAGGCAGGATAGTTGTTAAGGCCAAGAAATCCCTAAACTTTGTAAAAGGCGAAAGATTTATACAATCTGAAGAGAAACCAGAGTACTATAGAGGACTACTGTATTGATGAAAACTAAGTGTGTGAAGGTTTATAAAATGCAATATAAAATTAGGAAATGCGTATTTAAAAATTTGAATAATGGATGATTGTCAGAGAGGTTGAAGGAAGTCTAAAAGAGATAATATGTGATAAATTTAGACTGGATACTATAAATGTATGTTGGAAAATTTAATAAAAAATTAAAAAGAAGAAGAAGAAATCCCTAAACTTTGGAACTCACTGCCTATTGACAGCAAGCAGGCTCCTTCACTGTACTCTTCCCAGTGCCTGCTTAAAACATTTTTGTTTAGGCAAGCCTGCCCAGACATATGGAAGTTACATGTGTTCATCTGTTTTCAGTTTATTGTTGATTTTCATCGGCTTTTGAATGTTTTTCAATATGTGGTTTTAACCGCCTTTTATTGATAATGCTTTCCCTCTTTTCTTGTTGCAAACTGCTTTGAGGGTTTATTACGATCACGTGACATATACAGGTCGTTAAATAAAAATAAATGAACTGTGATGTCAAAGACAAGCGGCAAGGCTTTGTTATCTTAAACTGGCAACATCTCATTTGATTGCAGTAATTTTATATGTGGGGCTGCCTTTAAAGATTATTTTACAAGAACTTATATTTAAAAGTGTATGCATGATGTGTTTCCCAATGAATCCAGGTGCTTTTGAAGTAGATTTAAATATTTCTGCAATTGATTAATCTTAACCAGGGAGGGGGAGCGTCATTTTGCTTGCGGGCCGCATTCTCTCCTGGGCAAATTTCTGAGGAATGAATGCCACTACAGGGCAATGCCAAGAGCAGAGATGTCTAGAGTAATGGTACATTCCAGCGACACAAACGTCGTAGGTTTCTACACATGTGCGCAAACATGCCCTCCATCCAGGTGAGCAGGCGGCATTAAGGACACATTCCTACCCGACAGAAGCATGCCAGGAGTATGCAAAGAAAGATCAGGAAGGGGTGTGGCCTGGGAACAGGGGCGTGGCCTAATGAGAATCCCGAGGGCCAGATTTGGCCCCTGGGCTTGCGGTTCCTCACCTCTGTACTAAGCAATTTACCGTAATTTTTGCCCTATAGGACGCACTGGCCCATAGGACGCACCTAGTTTTTTTTTGGGGGGGGGGGAATCAAGGGAAAAAAAATTATTTCCCCCCCAGGTTTGCACAGCCATGCCCAAGCTAGAAGAGGGAGACGGAGCGCTCCGTCTCCCTCTTCTGCCTTCAGGGACAGCCTCTCTAGCCTCCGTGGGGCAGCAGCTTGCCCCGCTGTCCCCGGAGCTTGTGGGGCTGGCGATGGGGAGAAGCAAGCTTGCTTCTCCCCACCCCCAGCCTCCAGACCAGGTCGGGGAATAGCGGGATGGTGGCGCTTCGCCTCCCCGCTGTCCCCCGAGCTTGTGGGGCTGCCCGATATCTGCACCAATCGGGATGCAGGCTGCTATCCGCAAGCCTGGGGAGCCCCTGAAGCGAGAGGGGTCCGTATGCACCGACCCCTCTCGCTCTCCAGGCTTCAGCGAAAGCCTGCATTCGCCCCATAAGACGCACACACATTTCCCCTTCATTTTTGGAGGGGGAAAAGTGCATCCTATAGGGCGAAAAATACGGTAATCAGTGGAACATTGCAACCCCAGCAAGAAACAACAAATAAAATCAATGTGCAATTATTGCCTACATTCTCTATGGACTTCTGAATGATGGCTTATCACCACAGATTGGGAGGCTGGTTTTCCAGAGAGCCGTTCGGCAGAAACAAAAACAATAACCAATTGGTCCCAGGCAGATGACATTTGCTGGGATTGGTTGCACAGAGTCATTCCTGCTTCCAGAACTTTTTTTCCCCTAGGACTGCAAAGCAGAGGAAAGTGAGAATGCAACTGCTCAGCCATATGCTTCAAGATTGGGAGCTCAATGGAAAACAAGCTGGAGCTACCCCTGGGCAGGCAGTTAAAATGCTCAAGGGATGCTGGCAATGAACCTGGCTCCAATCCTGAGGCTTAGAACTTTTGGTCAAGGCTCATTCAGACACCTCACCAGGACAAGCACCCGTTCACTGCTGTGGAAGTCAAACTTCATGGCCTGAGCTGCTGGAGGCAGGAAACAGACAGTGAATAATAGTTTTGTTTGGGACTCACATAGATTTCTTTGTGCCCAAGCAGCACAAAGGGCTGGGTGAGGGGCCACTACATGGGAAAGAGCTGTAGCTCAGTGGTAGAGCAACTGCTGTGCATGCAGAAGGTCTCTGGTTCAATCCCCAACACCTCCAGGTAGAAGCCATGCCAATGTCATTCTTGACTTGCGGCCACATGAATCAAGAAGGAACGGAGAGCGCTAAAGAACTCTGTATCTGGAGAGTGGGATTAAGAGTGCTGAAACCTCAACCTAATCCTAAAAACTGAGGCCAAATATGCCCAGAACCAACTTTTTTACTCTCGTCTTGTCGCATCTTCTGGCTGGGATTGCGTCAGTTGAACCTTTTAGTTTAGCAATGTAACACTGGTGATTTGCAAAGTTTGCAGAGTCTGTTGGGCCTATTAATATTAGACAGCCGCTTTAATTTTTTTTTCAAAGCCTGCTGAAGGCCTACCCAGGCATGTGATTTTATTACGCATATTAAACGTAAAGGGACCCCTGACCATTAGGTCCACTCGTGGCTGACTCTGGGGTTGTGATGCTCATCTCGCTTTACTGGCCGAGGGAGCCAGCATACAGCTTCCGGGTCATGTGGCCAGCATGACTAAGCCACTTCTGGCGAACCAGAGCAGTGCACAGAAACACCGTTTACCTTCCCGCTGGTAAAGGTAAAGGTACCCCTGCCTGTACGGGCCAGTCGTGTCCGACTCTAGGGTTGTGCACTCATCTCGCTTAAGAGCCAGCACTGTCCGGAGACACTTCCGGGTCACGTGGCCAGCGTGACTAAGCTGCATCTGGCGAGCCAGCACCAGCGCCGCACACGGAAACGCTGTTTACCTTCCCACTATAAAGCGGTACCTATTTATCTACTTGCACTTAGGGGTGCTTTCGAACTGCTAGGTGGGCAGGAGCTAGGACCGAACGACGGGAGCTCACCCCACTGCGGGGATTCGAACCGCCGACCTTGCGATCAGCAAGTCCTAGGCACTGAGGTTTTACCCACAGTGCCACCCGCGTCCCTCTTCCCGCTGGAGCGGTACCTATTTATCTACTTGCACTTTGATGTGCTTTCGAACTGCTAGGTTGGCAGGAGCAGGGGCCGAGCAATGGGAGCTCACCCCGTCGTGGGGATTTGAACCGCCAACCTTCTGATCGGCAAGTCCTAGGCTCTGTGGTTTAACCCACAGCGCCACCCGCGTCCCCATATTACACATATTAGTCCATCTATATTTTGATCACTATATTATGCCTACTTGTTTTTAGTCTGTTGATTTATCGGTAATTTCTAAAGCGTATTTTACTTCCTTGTGGTTTTTTCTTTTTTTTAATTCAGTGCTATATAAATCTTGCAAAAGTAAATAAATGAAACTCATGTAACAAACATGCTCAGCTCTCAAAAAGCCTACAGTAAATATTATTGACAAAACTTCAGTGACAGCTAACTCAATCTGAACAAAAGCATTCAAATTTCCAATGGAGGAGGTTGAGAGATCTCCCTTAAAACTTTATCTCAAAGTAGATATTGCCGCTTGCCCTGGGAAAAGTCAACGCTGACTACGTCTTTTCTTTAGGGATTTTGATGGAGACAGAAGCTCCAAAGAAAAGTTGAAAGAAATCGGCTCTTTGTCATCCATTTGGCTATTCCTAGACATCCCGGCTGCAGGCAAATGCACAGTTTAAAAATAAGTTTTCTATAAATAGCCGATGGAAGCAAGACATGTCTCTTCTTTCCCCCAGAAACAATGGATCTGTCTACCACCTGAATGAGGCCCTCCCCTCTGCAACTTCCTGCCATTTCCTGTTTTGTGAAGACAAGAGCTGGTCATCTTAGCTTGGCAGAATGTCCTCGGCTGGTTGTTTCTCAAGGGAGTGGTCACACAAATATAAACATCTGGTGCCAAAGCAAAGCAGTTATTCCAGTAAGGAAGGGTTAAAACTGGGTGGGGTGGGGTGGGTAGCTTTTTCATTTTGAGGTGGGGAAATGGCTAATGGCTTGTGCATGTGTCATAAGAGAGATTCACAAAATTATTTGCAGTGGGGAAGAAGTGGTGAAGAGCTCTCTCACTCTCTCTCATTGGGATCAAACAGTCTCGGTCCAGTATATCTGAAGGAGCGTCTCCACCCCCATCCTTCTACCCGGACACTGAGGTCCACCACCGAGGGCCTTCTGGCGGTTCCCTCACTGCGATAAGCCAAGTTACATGGAACCAGGCAGAGGGCCTTCTTGGTAGTGGCACCTGCCCTGTGGAACGCCCTCCCACCAGATGTCAAAGAGAAAAACAACTACCAGACTTTTAGACGACATCTGAAGGCAGCCCTGTTTAGGGAAGCTTTTAATGTTTGATGCATTACTGTATTTTAATATTGTGTTGGAAGCCACTCAGAGGCGGTAATTCTTAGAGGAAGGGCTGTAGCTCAGTGGCCGAACATCTTCTTTGAATGTGGAAGGTTCTAGGTTCAATCCCTCATCTGAAGAGGCTCTGCCAGTCCCTGTAGACCAGCGGTTCTCAACCTGTGGGTCCCCAGATGTTGTCGAACTACAACTCCCATCACCCCTAGCTAGCAAGGCCAGAGCTCAGGGATGATGGGAGTTGTAGTCCAACAACATCTGAGGACCCACTGAGCCAAGATGGTCTGACTCAGTATAAGGCAGCTTCCTATGTGCCTATGGTCTCACAACAGCAGAGGCTGGGAATCAGGATGCCGAACTACGACGGCTGTTGGCCTGATCCAGCTGGACGCGTGTGCGTAAAGAGAGAAAGGGAGGCAAACCTCTATTTTATCCCAATGTCTTAGGAACCTTGCCCCCATTTGCAATTTCCAAAGAGTTTGAATTTAAAGTATCTTGCAAGTCCCACAACTGACATATTGTTTGCACCCATCTGTATATTGTTTGCACCCACAACCAATCTGGATATACAATGGGGACTGCAAGCTCAATATGTGGAGCATCCTTTGTTTGCCCAGGAATGACATATATCAGCCTGGGGATTGAACTGCCCTAAGAGGTTATGACCTATGCATGGCTTAGCAAAGAAGTAGCTCTAAATCATACTCAACCCTTCTCTCTCTTTCTTTTTTTTGTATTTGCTCAGGGGACTAGATAAAAGCCTCATTGTCCACAAGGCTAAAGCCAGGAGGCCCAGGGCCTTCGCGGCACAGAGCAAAATTCATTCCTCCGCTAACTAATCTGCACATCCTACGTGGCACGGGGCAAAGTCTCCTCTGGCAAAAGCTGCACCCAACATTGCATTGCGACTCCCACCCGTCCTTGCACATTCATGACGGGCATCGAAGCAACACTCAGAAGCAGTTTGGCAGAAAGAAACCCAAGCCAACAATTGCTCAGGCCTTGAACGGACAGCGCTTGCACTGAATTAGAGCCCTGAGAGATTTGGGGCGGAGGAACCATAGCTCAGGCCTCATTTCCACTAGAGCAGTATTAAAAGTAAAGGGACCCCTGACCGTTAGGTCCAGTTGCGGATGACTCTGGGGTTGCGGCGCTCATCTCACTTTACTGGCTGAGGGAGCTGGTGTACAGCTTCCAGGTCATGTGGCCAGCATGACTAAGCCGCTTCTGGCGAACCAGAGCAGCACACGGAAACACCCTCTACCTTCCTGCCAGAGTGGTACCTATTTATCTACTTGCACTTTGACGTGCTTTTGAACTGCCAGGTTGGCAGGAGCTGGGACCGAGCAATGGGAGCTCACCCTGTCGCGGGGATTCGAACTGCCGACCTTCTGATTGGCAAGTCCTAGGCTCTGTGGTTTAACCCCCAGTGCCACCCGCGTCCCTAGAGCAGTATTACATCACAGTTTAAACAGTCACAGCTTCCCCCGAAGAATCATGGGGACTGTAGTTGGTTAAGAGCACTGACAGTTGTAAGGAGACCCTCCCCGTCCCCTTGATTCATAGAGCGGTCTAATGGTCGATCTCTCTTCACAGGGAACTCTGCAAATTGTAGCTCCGTGAAGGGGATAGGTGACTCTTAGCAGCTCTTGACATCCGTAACAAACTATACTCCCCAGGATTCTTTGGGGGAAGCCATGGCTGTGACAGTGGTATGGTAGTACAGATGGGGCCTGAGTTGCAGAGCAAATGGTTTATATGCAAACCTTCCACATTCTGTGTCCCCTCTACTTAAAAGGATTCAGGTGACAGGAGAGAGACGTCTGCCAGAGGTCTTAAAAGAGAGCTGCTGCTAATCAGGAAAGACCATACTGGGCTATAGATTGAGGATGGGGTATCTGGATTCAGCCTAAGGGCCAGGTGGGAGCCTGCCAGGGGTCAGCGGGGTCAGAGGCAAAAGTGGGGAGGGTAATGAATGCAAATCTTACCTTTGCACAGAAGGCAGAGGGCCTTCTCAGTAGTGACGCCCGCACAGTAGAACACCCTCCCATCAGATGTGAAAAGAAATAAACAACTATCTGACTTTTAGGAAAGTTTTTAATGTTGGATGTTTTATCGCGTTTTAATATTCTGTTGGGAGACGCCTAGAGTGGCTGGGGAAACCCAGCCAGATCGGTGGGGTATAAGTAATTTATTATTATTATTATTATTATTATTATTATTATTATTATTAGGCTCCTTTCTACACACATACACACAACCTCTATTCTCCATCCAGACAAACAACAGGCAGTATCAGAGTTCAAGGACATATTCCAGCCAGGCAAAAACATGGAAGGAGGGTGCGAAGCAGGGCCAGTAGGTGGTGTGGCCTGGGAAGACTCTCAAGGAACAAACAGAGAGGGACACATTTGACCCTTGGCCTTGGGCTAGGGACAGCAATTCATAGGACAATTAAGGAGTTATCTGTTTCAACAAGCTTTGTCTGATTCTTGACAGATTCCTGACCTCCAAGGCTCCTTGGAACTTTCTTCGAAAAACCTCATGGAAGGACTAGCAAGCTGCTTCCTACAGAATCAGGCCACTGGTCCATCTCGCTCAGTGTGGCCTACACTGGCAGGCAGCTGCTCTCGTGGGAAAGGGGTCTCTACACAGCCCTGCCTGGAGATGACAGGCATTGCATCTGGGAGCTTTCTGCATGCCAAGCAGATGTTCTGCCACCGAGCCACAGTCCTTCCCTTTAATAGATTTAGCTATTTGGTTTAAAAATATTTGAAGTTTCAATCCTCCCCCTCCTCTTCCTCTCTGACCCCAAATTATCTAGAAAGCAGAGAAGGAGAAGCAACTGCAGTCACAGGCCCAGGTGCATCGCTTGTGTTTCCTCCCTCCTCCGCCATCTGCATCCAGCATCTCCCTCGGGGCTGTGACTCACCTAATGAAGTAGCAGCAGAAGATGAGGCTGAGCACAAAGACGAAGATCCCCGTGCCAAAAATCACCATGTAGATATTCAGCGGCAAGTCCTGGAATGTGATGGGAGGCATCGTGCAGGATTTGTTGGTGTAAACCAGCCCCAAACCACAGAAGCATCCTGCGAGCCAGGAGGGGAGAGAAAGAGAAGATGAGACTCAGGGGTGGAGAGAGACAGGAGAGGAAGGCAGCAGCACAGATCTCCTTAGGATCATAGAATTGTAGAGCTTGGAAGGGACCTCTAAGTTCATCTAGTCAACCCCTCGGCAAGGCAGGACTACGCAGCTAGCCCATACGGGGATCAAACCCGTGACCGAAACTAAGCCGTGGAGAATAGGGATGGGCAAATCTGTCCCTTTCGGTTTCTCCAAGTTTGTCATTTTCCCCATCTTAAATTCTTTTCTCCCCATTTTCCCCAATATACAGTACACATTTTTGCATGCGGTGTAAACTAAGGCACACCTTTCTGAAAGCTATTCCCCTAAATATAATGCATTTTTTTTAATGCTATTAGCACAAATGCATATATTTTTGTGCATACTTTCCCCCAAACATAAGCCTTTTGGTTCATGTTGGCTGAAGAACTGCATCGAAACATATGAGGAAGTGTGAATTTGGAAGGATACTTCAGTTCGCATATCTGTTTGGGAAACGCAGACCAGGCAAAATGCACTGAATTTCTCCCTCATCCCTCCTAGAGAATAAGGCGATGAATAGCTTCTAGTCATGATGATTATAGGTACTATCTCCAGCACATACCATTCCCTTGCTTAGATAAACGAAAGAAAAACCCCTCATCCAAAAGAACAAAATCCAAACACACAATCACAAAAATAGGAAGCAGTGATGGGAGCTTTTTATGTTATCATTATGAGCCTCTTTGAGCTCAACAGTCTTGTGGAAAAGGGGAATACAAGTATTAAGGCAAAAGGCTAAAGGTAAAGGAACCCCTGACCATTAGGTCCAGTTGTGGCCGACTCTGGGGTTGTGGCGCTCATCTTGCTTTATTGGCCAAGGGAGCCGGCGTACAGCTTCCAGGTCATGTGGCCAGCATGACTAAGCCGCTTCTGGCGAACCAGAGCAGCGCACGGAAACGCCGTTTACCTTCCCGCCAGAGCGGTACCTATTTATCTACTTGCACTTTGACATGCTTTTGAACTGCTAGGTTGGCAGGAGCAGGGACCGAGCAATGGGAGCTCACCCCGTCTCGGGGATTCGAACCGCCGAGCAAGTCCTAGGCTCTGTGGTTTAACCCACAGTGCCACCCGCATCCTGTAAATCAAAAGGCTGCCTACTCCCATATGAACCTGTGCAGAATCTAAGAGCTCCTCCAGATGACCTATTTATTCCACATTCAACTTGATTTCCTTGCACAAAACTGAAGTAGGAGGATAGACTATCATATTTATTCCATTTTTTAATAGGGAGCTTATAAAACATTAACATTCATCCCAATCTGTTTATGGGGCATTTGCACATCTTCCCATTAGTAATTCATTCATCCCACCCTTTTATCGCTTTCCAAACTGCCAAATGTCAGGTGTTTTTTGGCACCCCAAGGTCTACGTCAGAGGTCCTCCTCCTGTACCCTTTGGAGGTGGCAATTGGGTATTTTCAGTAGTGGCTTGGGATGCAAGGATCTGTCAATTCTGGTTCTCTCCATTTCTCATTTTTCTAGTCTTAAAATATGTTCTCCATATTTCTGCAGCAATTTGCTTTTTAAAAAAGGTCATGAATATTCACTAGCATTTTAAGGGTGCATTTTTCATAATAAACACATTTCTGTGTGAACCTATGTCTAATGTACACATTTCTGCAAACCCTCCCCCCTGATATAATGCATTTTTGCATGCCATTTTTACTAACATATTCATTTGTGTGCACACTTTCTCCCAATATACACATTTTTCTAAACATTGTTTGGCTGCAAAATTCGGGCAAGTGTGAATTTTGAAGGACAGCTGTGTTTCACTACACTTCGTTTAAGAAAATGCAAATTTTATAGATTCACCTTAAAGAAGAAGAAGAAGAAGAAGAGTTTGGATTTGATATCCAGCCTTTCACTCCCCTTCAGGAGTCTCAAAGCGGCTAACAATCTCCTTTCCCTTCCTCCCCCACAACAAACACTCTGTGAGGTGAGTGGGGCTGAGAGACTTCAGAGAAGTGTGACTGGCCCAAGGTCACCCAGCAGCTGCATGTGGAGGAGCGGAGACGCGAACCCGGTTCCCCAGATTACGAGTCCACCGCTCTTAACCACTACACCACACTGGCTCACAATCCCAGTCCCCCTTCCCCTACGTTCACCAAATGCCCGAAAGGAGTAAAAGAGCAGTGGTAGAAGCAGAGCCTTAGGAATGCCCAGAATTTCACTGACCACAAAGAAATGATAAACAGCAAAGCCAGTGCAGTGTAGCATAGTGGTTAAAGTTTTCAAATGGTGCCTGGGAGGTCAGGGTTCAACTCCACACTCAGTCATGAAGCTCACACGGTGACCTTGAACCAGTCAAGGTCTCTAAATCTAACCCACTTCTCAGGGCTCTTATGAAGATAAAATGGGCTACACCAAACCTTCAGCCACTTGGAGGGAAATAATATTGCATTTTTCTTTTTATTTTTTTTTAAAATGATGACTTCCTTGGAACAGTCATCTTTTTCCTGCCCCACAACAGGAAATGATCAAAACATGATCCCATCCACTATTTAAGGAATCAGTGCACAAAAGGAGGTTTTTGCTGACTTTATCTGAAGCACAGAACAGCTGTGGCTGGTTACAGGAAGGCCTGCTGGAAAGCCAAAATAAGAAAAGAAAAGCCTTTGGGGGTGCGGGTGCTAATAGCAAAGCAGAAATGATTAACAATGCATTAAAAATGAAATAATCAGCTGAGGCAGGGGGCCAGTTCTGAGTCTCCATGAGAATGGCGGTGGGGGAGGGGGGAGGTTTTTCAGGAAGAATTTGCTACCTTAATTAGGCAAATAATAGAAGTGTGTACACATAGCTCTTGACCCTTGCTACACAACTCAAAAGTAGTATCTAGGTTCCAATGGAGACTAGCATTTCCTGTACTGATGGAGATAGATACACAGAGAGACCTATGGTCTCACAACAGCTGTCAAACTTGGCCCATAGCTGGTAGGGGAAAGAAAGATGAAAGCTGCAAGTCAAAATCCAGTTCCCCACTCCTGGGTTAGATGCATAAATAGTCTGACCTGATATCAGGCAATTTCCTTATGTTCTGTGAGCTCCTTAACGTTCCCAAAGGCTGTGGGGACTGGAAGGGGGGGAATTGAGCTTCCAAGATGAGCACTATAGGAGTGTGTTGTTCCCGACCCCAATTTCCTCTCCCCTGCAGAGATTGATTTGAGGGTGGACAGAAAGGACTCGCAAGCTGGTGTATTATCTACAGGCAGATCTCTTTCTTTCTGAGTAATTGCCTCAGAGTCTGCTGTTTGAAAGGATAAGCTTGCAGAGATCAGTGTCTCTAGAGAGATCTGCCTAGACATTGGGAAGGACGGGGGAGGAGTGGAAGGGGGAAATTAGCACTTCAATAATGAGGCACTGAAGTCCCTTTGATAAAACCGAATCAGGGACACCACCTGGGCCCAGACGCAGACTGCACCCCTTGTTTCAGGACCACAGCCTGAGAAAAACAAAATGGTTTTCCTATACACACACACAGAGGATCATGGAAGATATAAAGCCAGCCTAGGATTCTGAAAATACACGTATTCCACTGAGACAGATATTGCTATGAATTATTCCAGCCATCACCTCCTCAGCAACTGAAGCTTCCCCAGTAGTGAAAACCCAGAAGGGCGAAAAAAGTCCTTAATCACACAGGGAGCAGTGGTTCAGCTCCAGATCATGGCACCCTTTGCAGGATACACACCCTGAATGGGCTCCTCTTCCCAAGCACCACTGTCACTGCTGCCTATTTAACTTGTGTGTGTCCAATTTGGCCTACTGCATCTTTGCCTTGCTGTTGTCCCCATTGGACCATCTGGAGCTGCATTATCAATTTGGATTGGCCGGGGCTCTGGAGGGTCTTGGCTAGAAGTTGTTGCCATCACCTACTAGCCAGGCTAGCAGGGGGGAGTGACAGGGACATGGGGCCAGAAAGCTCATTTTCTAGTGCAATAGCCAATGTAGTGCCCCCTCCCAATGGTGTTGGCCTACAACTCCCATCAGCCCCAGTCAGTATGGCAGATGGTCAGGGATGATGGGAATTGTAGTCCAACAACATCTCAAGGGCACTACATCATCATCAATTTATTTATACTCCATCTTTTTCCCTAATGGGGAAGGCTTATGGATAAAAACAAGAATTGCTAATAACTTGGGGGGGGGGGGACGGACAAGTAAACCTTGATGGAATGCAAACTATATACAGTAATATATAAAATCTGTTTGTTGACTCCCAAACAGATTTTATATCTAAAATGAATGCTACACCCCAAAATGGATGCTACACCCCATAGTCGAATTTGACTGGACTTAACCGTCCAGGGGTCCTTTACATTTTTTTTACTACCCCGTCCTAGTAGACTGCTTTTGTTGAATTAAAAACCAATCATTTGCTACATTTAAAATGCTTCAAAAGAATTAAATAAAAATAACATTTAGAGGCAAACCTCCCCAATTCACACTTTCCAAGACTTTACGTGAACCGAAACACAGCAGTTCTTCGAAATTTGCACTTTTCCAAATTTTGCAATGCGATTCTCCAACCAAGTAACAGGTACAAAAATGCATGTGCTGTGCTAGAGTAAAGTGTGCATAAAATGTGTATATTAACTAAAATAACAAGCCAAAGTGCACTATATTAGCGGAAAATGCTTTGCAAACATGCGTCCATTAGGAAAATTGCATACAAAAATTGAAATACTGGTGAATTTTCAGAACATTTAAAAAAACCCAAAAAACACCAACCTACCATCTGTATGGAAATTTGGAAACTGAACTTAAGACTGGAAAAAAAACATGCAAAACTGAGATGAAATGAAATGAACATATTTGCCCATTCCTACTCTCACCTAGTGAAATTTTAAACACATGAGGGTTTCAGACTCTTGAAGAGTCTACAGCCTATCCCATGCCACAAGCAGGACTTTCATATCATCACA